GTTACAAGTAACGAGTTACTTCCATTCCCTGATAATTGTACGGTGTAAAGTACATGTTGAAGTTATCCTAACTCCTCCTGGGTACAACGTCAAAAAATCTGGACTTACTGCAAAATTAAAATGTAAGTAGAAATGATTAATTGAATTATTTATGATTTTAGTCATGAATGCACATCATAAAAAAATTATTTAACTCAATTTTATTGTGTTCTTAATAATAGAAAATATTTCTTCTTCTTCCTCGTTAATAACTTCCGCGGCAAATGCGATAAATACTAAATATAAGAGTAAATTGTTAATACAACACATTTACTATTAGAAGAACATTAGGATCACTTTTTTTATTTATTTCTATCAAAATTCAAAGATTTTCGGCTTATGATTAGTTTCCATAAAACTGAAAAATCACTCATTTTCACTCTGCAAAAAAATATCATTTTCAGAACAAATCGCAAAAATGCTTATAGCTTCTTAAAATTCAACTTATTAGCTGTTGATTCATCACTAATAAAATCTTTTTTTATTTATTTTTAACAAAAAGATAAAGTTTTGAAAAAAATTCAATGTTTTCACGTTTTTTTCCCATCTCTTCTTACTTATTGCAAAATATCTTTTATGCTACGACATTTTAGACTTTCTAACTCAAAAATTCTTTTTTTTCAGTCTTCAAACGATAGATTAAAAAATCTGAGATACAAGCAAAAGAAAACGCTGGGTTACAAATACCCGGATGTGTGTAGATACGGACCGCCAGAGTTATGTGTACTGAGGGTTAAAATATAAGAAATTGATGTAAATTGATATTGGATGTTCCTCGTGTTGTTACAAAGTTTCTAATATTATCAGTTGAAGTTGAACTGAAAGCATCATAAGCGCTTACTTATACATGTATTCATTTAAGTAATTTGAATCTGCAATATATAATTCGAGTTTGTCTACATTGACGTACATTCGATAGAATTTTCATTAAGATGACTTGCTCTTCATCATCGTGAATGCGGTAATCAATATAAGACAGTCTCATCGTTTTTTCCGACGTGTAAATTGCATAAACACGCGTATTTATATTAAGGCAAAAATATACAGGTACACAGTTGGTAAATATTTGTGCTAAATGTGAGAGAAAATTAAACAAATTTAACATAGCTAGATATAATAATCTGGATGTATTTTTTACCATTACTTTCCGTTATCGTTATTGTAATTAACATTACTCTCATGGTTATTACTATCATAAAGACTGTTATCGTGATTAGTATATTTATCATTAATATCATTATTTTATTAGTTATTTCATGCAATCATCGGCAAATTATACACACCACATACCCGCACGCTACGTGACGCTCTTCTTGTAATAAACAGTAAAGTTTCAATTCATACGTTAAACGTTAAATTGTTTACAGACTATACTTCCATATACACAAATGTATACATATTTCCATTATAAATCGTATGATTTTTACACTTGTTGCTCATATGTAATTGTACATTGCTCTTTTACAGTGTGTGTGTATAATTTGGACGAAATTAGACGCTGGTCGATGCTCAATGATGAAGCGCGAGCTTTTAACGTTACTATTAACGTCATTATTGGAAGCTAGGTAGGTATAACTGTACAGAGAGTGTACGAGCGAATATGTTTCGTAAGTTTTATGCGTATTATACGAAAGCATATTTTTCAAATTTTGATTTCAAGGTCGGCTTCATTACTATCATGTAGCGTAGAAGACGTGACGATCAATGTAAAAGATCGATTGATTAAAGCGCAGTAGAAATGATATATAATTTATTCTGCAAAATTTGATCCTTTGATACTCTAAACATATAATGAAAGGATTTTAACGTTTGCAAAATAAATTCTTATCTTAATGTTTGTAATTCATTTACTTTTTACAAAGCAATGGTTCATAATTTATGGAACATAATTTGTACCTAAAATTAAATTTAACAAATTTTCGCATTATAATAACAGATCTAATTCCATTTACGTTATGAATGCAAACGAATCATCTTCTGTATTTGTCAAATATTAAAGAATACGTAACTTGAATTATGCTACTTTACAGCAAAGAATTTGGACAAGGTATATCTTATAGATTTTGAAATAAAAAACCTGAAAACGCGTGCAGTGTTGCAAACCAAATTTCTCCAGCACATCGGCTTTCTAAAATAATTAATTGACATTTAATGAGTAGATGTGCCATTTTCGAAAATGACTTTTTCATGATATTTAACATCATTTTGCAAAAAAAAAGTTAAGAAAACTCTGTATTTGAGTTCTACATAACATGCGGCTAATAAAGTATTGAAATTTAAAGAAATACACTTTTATTAAAAAAATGTTAAATGTCGCAAAAAAGCCATTTTTGATACATTATATTTCGATTATTTTGGAAGCCTGTGACGTGCTGATGAAATTTAGCTTATGTGTGGCATCGTTTTCGATGTATCCAAAAATCTATAAGAAACACCTTGTCTGATCAAAATAATTTAAGAAAATATATTTTTTTGTAAACTATAGTGTTATCTTTTCGTCTCGAATATGAAAGAACTAAAACGTGACAGGCATGAAACTTTTAGAAATGGATTACAATCATCGTTGTGTTGTCTTAAGTTAAAAAATAAGTCGCATGTTCGAAATTTAACGTATCGCATATATAACGCGACATCGTTATCGTGAACATAGAAGCATAGAAGGCTTTCGTTCGAGTGGCTGAACCTTGATGCACATCCTAAAAATCATAAATATTAGTGGATAAGATTGTTCTCTGAATTCTGGATCAAATAAGAAAAATAGAGATAATAATTACACGTATAATACATATGTATATTATGCATTCAGTCGTGCTTTACTGACAATAACGTTTTCAAAAGGTACTTTTCGATTAATCTCGGTGATATACATATATGTATAACCAGAACGAAAAACTCGGTTAAAGAATAAGAGCAAGCAGAATTAATGCATTTTCACAAGCAGATTATCAAAGACATCAGACGTCGATCAATCTATTGGGGACAGGCACTTCCTCATGCGCGATACCATTTATAGCAAATTCACTCATTTCTAAATTTTCAAAGTCTTACCTATCCTATTCGCTCAGTACTGGCAGTAAGGACCTTACGCGAAAAAAGTTGTATTAGGACATGGTATCGTAAATTTATTATTAAAATAAATAAAACATAATTATAACAATGTTTGAAAATTTTTAACTGTAATTACAACGAGACTCTACATTTGCATTAAAACTTGGGAATATTCAACTTAATATTTAAAATGATGATGATATTAAGATTTAGGATACTCACAACTCGATGCTTTGGATAGTGGATGTAGGACATGTCATATCGACTTTCACATGACAATGTTTGTGACACTTCATCTGACAATCCCTACATTCGTAACCCTGCTTACCGAGCCTTCGTGCAAGAGTTCTTTTACATACTTCGCAAATTGTTCCTCTAAAAACAAAGTGAACATTTACTTTATTACAATTATAAAATTTTAATTATATTTTTCATATGTTGATCAATTTAATGGCATAATCACACTATTGCCGACAAACGTATTATATCCCAGCAATTTATTTGCGATACATATACATATATATACTTTTATAAAAATTTTTCACCATTTTAGCTCGTTTTTAGCCCGCGCGAACGGTTAATTTGAGTGGTGAAAACGTGCATTTTACTCAGTGAGTTTGACTCCGTTTTTAGATCGCAAACAGGAACTTTTCTGTAAAAATGAGTGGTTAAAACGGATTGCACTCATGCAGGACACGAATATATCTGAGGGGTAAAAACGTATACATTACGAGTATTTTTGAGTGGTAAAAATGTAAATTTGAGTGAAAAAATTTATACCATTGCAAAATACTCATTTAGCAATCATCGCTCACATTGCACGTGTGTGTTCACCACTCGAAATTACTCGTCGTAAGGCATAACCGATAGCACGAGAAAATCAGCTCCGCTCCTGTCGAGATTCGAACCGAAGCCTGGTCTCCAAGTCTACTCTACGAGGCTGCCACTTTTCCACTGAGCCACACTCCTATATCGATATTCGCTTACTTATGTACCTCTTATATGAAAGATTATAATTATTATATAGTACACTATTAGAAATGTAATTACGAGCTTCCTTTACATGTAAATGAAGCTTGTGGTTATGAACGAAATTAAAAGTAATGAATGATTTAACTGAAAATTAAGTTACAGTAGTTACTTAAATGTAATGAACATGTACATTAAATTTATGAAATTTAATGTACTTTTAATAAAATTTTATAAAAAGTACATTAAATTTCATAAATTTTCATGAAAAATACATTAAATTTCATGTATATTAACGCAAATATACTTTTCAGTTATAAATACATTAAATTTAATGTAATGTCATGAAATTTAGTTCAAATAGTGTAACTTAAAAGTATATTAAATTTCATGCCATTTTTAACAGTGTAATATAAGGATGTGATAGCAAAGTATGCATGTTTGTTACAGATCAATTTATTTATAGCAGCACGAAGTTAGTTGTCATAGTTATCGGATATGTTAGTGTAAAAGAAAATTGTCTCTACCACAGCTAAACATGGTTTGTT